TATGGTCTAGTGGCATGAAGTGACTCTTTCTGCTTCAGTACGTTGAAGAAGTAGCTATGAACAGATACTACATTGTAACAGAGTCAGTAGTACTAAAAAAATAGTATCCTTTGTTTTAATCTGCACGATTGATGGGATTGATAATATGTACATAATAAAGGTAGAATCTTTGAAACTCGATTGGTGTGATGGCTTCATCTTATCGAAAAAAACTTGAACTTTGTGGATTTACTATTTACATTGCATCTTCAATTGCGAGAAATTTATATGCTTGTTTGTGATTTCGATAGGGTCGCTTTGAAATCCTTTCTTTGTCGGGATCCTTCACTCCTACGGAGTTCGGGGGATCTCGGACGAGCAGGACTGGTGGAATGAGCATATCTCTGGCAAGTCCCGATGGACGTGTAGTGGGAGGAATGCTTGCGGGGCTCTTAATAGCTGCCAGTCCCGTCCAGGTAATCACCTTCGATCTAACGACTTTTCTTAGTGAACTTTATTTTGTCACTAACGACTTTTTCTTCTCAAATTATATCTCAGGTAATAGTGGGCAGTTTTCTTCCGAGCAATTTCAACGAGTTTAAGACACCGAAGAAGCCTAAAGCCGAGCCCAAACCCATTTCCAATTCGCAAGTCGTCTCGGTTGCTATGCCTCATAATCCTAACACGGATACCAGAAACCCCGGTCCACTAGCCATGGTTTATCCGGGATCTGGAACACCAAGCACCGTGCCTCCCTCTATAACAAATAACTGGGGCGCTATAACAACCGTGGAGGACTCGAGGAAGGCTCCAACCGACATAAATATATCCTTGCAGGGCGAGTAGTTCATTCTCGGAGATAATTATGACATTCAATAACTTATAGATGCACAGTAAATTGCCAGCTTTAAGCTATCATAGGATCGCGTAGAGAGCTTCTTTCTTTTCTTTTTTTTTTCTTTTTTCTTTTTTTGCCTGTTCGGCCTCGTTTAGTCTTGGATGTTGTCTGTTGTTCTGATGTGATTAATGTCTGTCCATGGCAAAGCTGCTGGGATGCAGTTGTAGGAATATGAACTTTTTACTTGCTGGGCTTTACTGAGCAGCTTATATTGGGTTCCCATCTGCCACTTTATTGAGATATTTCCAGGATTTTGAGATTAACAAGTAATTTATTAAATGTTTCATTGTTTATGGTCCTCCATTTTCACTAATTTTAAGGTTTCTGAAGTGTTTGTACTGCTGCAATAGCCAATATGTAATGGACTAACCAGGAATCTATAACCAACTACTATAAAGTTGAAAGGGACTAATGCATTGAGATAACTTAACCAAGTCGGTTAGACTATTGATTTGATAATTACAAGATTACAAATTCTACTCTAACGGGAGCAACTTATTGACCTGAGCTATCTAAATTGGCAGGCCAATCTAAATTCGTTTACTTTTTTGTGATCCTTTGCTGGCTAAGATCATAAAACAGAATGTATCGAAGGCAGTTTTAGCCAAGGATCACAAAACAGAATGCATCGAGGCAGTCTTAACCAAGTTGGTTAGACTATTTGACTTGATAACCACAAAGTTTTTTCCTAGTTTTTCCTAGGCAGGAATCATAAAGTTACCAGTTATATTCCCAACGGGAACAAATTATTTGCCTAAACAACCTAAACTGATTTACCTCTCATAATTTACACAACCGACACTCTTCGATAGCGACTGCGAATTTCTCCTATCACCCAGTAAAAAGAAGGGAATGATGCATCTGACCAGTTTGGTTTGATATTAAAAAGAAAAAAGAAATCACTATAGCATAAAGTTGCTGTTGGAATACAAGAATGAGTTTATGGGGAAAAAGCTTTACTAATACATAACTGAAAACTATGAAAATTACTTTCTCATAATACATTTCATTACAAAAAACAGGTGCCTGCCAGACTGGCTGCCTTGAACTGGAGATTTTGAACCTTTTACAAAACACAAATACTCAGAGCAGAGAGTGATGATAATGCTCAAAGAAGCCACACAACCTGAAAAGTACACAAATATTTTTTCAATTTCCAGTCTTAAACGCCTATTAGAAGATAAAGAAGAAGATAAAGAAATCCAAGTTCTTCAAAATTTAAATGACACAAAAGGGAAAGAGAGAAGGGGTACCCTAAGTAGAAGCACCGCTACTTGCTTAATCATCCACTATGGTCCATACCATCCTAAAAAACGAGAACAATGGGCATGAATTATATGGATTGAACAAACAAATAGTATCGTTATCAAGTAATAAGTTCTCGAGAAATAAACACCAAAAGCTCCTCTATAGTAACATACCAGGTTATGGAAACTGCAAGAAGTAAGACCAGGTATCCAAGTTTATACAACCGTATCTTCTTTTCCCAGGGAAGTTGATTGAAAATTTCCGTCACATCCAACAAGTGGCGACCACGAGTATAGCTGATAAAAAAATTGATGAATTAGAATGCAGCAAATTCTGATGTAAGCTATACGAATATCCATAATCTTCAAAATGATTCGTTTCATAAACTCTAGTTCATAAATTGAGTGAAGAACCGAAAAATATTACCAAGAATCTATTAGAGAAGGAATAAACTTACACTTTGAAGTTGTAGTACAAATATGGGAGACAGAGAAGACACATAAACCAATGGCCTACTATAAGATGTAGGATACATAGCATCCCTTCAGCAATAAAACTGGGCACGACAACTTTATTTATCCGGGATGCTGAATCGTATGGGTTGATATAATCGTACTCAAGGTCAGCTAAGCACATTAGCTGCAAAATTAATTCCAAGCATTATGTTCTTCAGAATTAGAACAATAAAAGACGGGAAATACATAATAGCCATGACAACTAAAAGGTACTAATCCTTTTCAAGATTATCACATGATATTGTTAATCTTTCTTAATTTCCATCAAAACCGCAATAAGTAATCTTTCTTAATTTCCACCCCTTTTAGAGACGATCTCGGTCTTTGACAACGAGCCACCTCCTCAAGAAGGTGAAACTCTCACACTGCGACTGTTAGGGCTAGATCTTGGGTCCCACACCACAACTGTTAGGGCTAGATCCTGCGTCCTTACCCACAATTTGCCACCTCCACAAGAGGGTGAAACTCCCACACTGCGACTGTCAGGGCTAGATCTTGGGTCCCACACCACGAGTCTAGGCTAGATCTTGCGTCCTTACCCACAATTTTCCACCTAGGAACCAACTAAGCTACCCATGGGGGGCCTCTCTCGTTTCGATGTTAGTAAGTACACTATAATCTTGGAATATAAACTCTATAACCCCTAATCTTGCAATTTATATTGGTCAACAAATATGCTTTCCTCCTTCTTTCAATGTTAAACGAAATCAAGCTCCTTTTTAGCTCAAATGATTGTTTAATTCGTCGATAATATGGAGAAATGAGGGACAAAAAAAGCCCAGATTCAAAAGTTTCCACCTTTAGATTCACAATTTCCCAGTTTTCTGATTCATTAACCAATCAAGAAGATAAGTTTCCAAATTTAGAATATCATTCGAAGCTCGTGAATCATCTAAGAAAGCAGAGAAAGAAATCTGGAAAGAAAGGTATAATACCTGGTAAAGGAGAAGACCAAGAATGGCCACTAGAAGGAAGAAGGAAAGAAGCCATGCAAAGAGATCCACCATGGCCCCTCGCGCTCCTTCCTCCTCTGCTTAGTTTCTTTCCCTCGCTCGCCCCCTTTTTTCTCGGCGTCTTGTCGGAGTAGTTGCCGTTCCGGGAAACGGTGACCTATTTGACTATTTCACCGTAGCCGTTGGTGAGATGTCTGAGATTCTCTCTTCTGATTTCCTCTCCCAATGTTCTTTTAGCTTCATTTTTTATTATATTTTTTTATAAAAAAAATCCCACCTAAATTATTACAAAAATTTGGAGTTTAAGGATTTAATTTTTGTCAACACATTATTAATTGATATCCTGTACATAATTCTTTTAATAATTTATCTTTTATATAGTTTATAAAGTATTACACGCAAAAAAAAAGTAAAATATATTTTTAAATAGTGATTGCGAGAAGTTAAAGTATCAAAATCAGTTAACTTAATAATTTAAAAAATTACTAAGTAAATTACCAGTATAAATATGAAGTGTAGTGTTATATGAATTAAACAAACATTTTTGCACTAGATTATATGCATAAATCCCATTAATCCCACAATCTACAACTATTGTAACGAATTACTAATACAACTGTGAAATTAAAGAGTAGTATACTTATTAACTCAACGGTTCAAGACATTTAATAAACGGATTATTAATACAATTGTAATATTAACGCACCGTCACGCACAAATACCTTGTTTTGTAAAATAGTTAGTCTACCAGTCAATTTTGACTTATTTGACCACTATTTAGTTGTTTGACTTGAATAAACAATCAATATGATTGTTTGATTAATTAGTTTTTTTTTTGTAACAATTTATTGCTCCAAAATACTAAAATTCTAAAAAACTGTTCAAAGTAATTTTTAAATCAATTTTTTTAGAAAGTCATTTTATATATAATCAGCTAACAACTAACGATTAATTAACCAAACACTTTTATGCAATCAGCTAATACTATCGACAAATCAAACTCATTAATCCAATCAACTAACAGTCATTTATCAAACACTACAAAAAAAGTATCAAAATGCATTTAGTCCACCCCATGAGCATATCATCCTTATTTCTATCTCATAAGTCATAACATGTGTCGAGATTATAATTTATATTTATTAATTATTAATTACTCATTAACATTTTTTTTGTTTTTGTGTGGTTATTTTCTTTTCAATTGTACATTTGTAAAAAATAAAAAGGAAAAAACAATCATTTTCAGCATTTTTTCCCTCCTTTTAAACGAGAAGAAGTCCCCGGTGGAGGATTCCACTGCAAGCTTTAAGCAGTGAAGAAGAAGAAGAAGAAGCAAACGGCGCATTACTGCAATATAATAACTTTCTCTGTAAACTCCATAAAAAAGCTCTCTCTTTTCCTCTTCAGATGGCCCGAAACAGGGTGAGTTTTACTCTTTAATCTCCCATTCTCCCCATATTTTATTCAATTTACTCCGTATCAATCCGTAGTTCCATTCCCGGCTACATTCATTCTTCGCGTTTATATGACCTGAAAATTCCCGCTTTTATTTGGGGACTAATGATTTCTGAACACAAATAGGAGGGTTTGATTTTGGTGATTGATGTGGGGCCTTCAATGCATTGTGTTCTTCCTGAAATTGAGAAGGTTTGCTCCGTGTTAGTGGAAAAGAAGGTATTTTTTATTTTTTTTTACCATCACTGTTAACTTTTTAGTGTTTTCCCTTCCAAACCTGTGTGAATAATCTCTGTGTGTTATTGTATTTAGTTGATTTACAGCAAGTATGATGAAGTAGGAGTTATTTTATTTGGGACAACAGGTAGTTCTTTTCATTTCTTGTTTATTTGTGATTTTATTGCTACTATTTTCTTAGCATGAAATGAGAGAATATAATCTGTTTGTACAATTATCCCAGAGACTGCAAACGAATTGACAGAAGAGCTGGGTGGATATGAACATGTGACGGTTTTGAGGAGTATCAAAGTTGTTGATGATGACCTTCTTCAGGCTCTAGAACAGCTTCCTCGAGGAAGCGTTGATGGTGATTGTATCCTACGTATGCATTTTAAGCATGATGAAGAAGCTAGATCCTTTGCACTCTTTAGTTTTGTCATTTTCTTTTGTGCCCTGAAAGATATTATATGCTCTGAGATGGATGAATATAGTATATCTGTGCAATCCAGCCACTATGTTTTCTCTGTTAAAATAGTCCAAGTATAAAATAAAAGTTTTTTATGTGACCCATAGTCCAGCATTGATTTTTTCTTGTTTTCCAGTGATAGTGAATACGGTGAATTATTATGATGCATAACATGTAGTTGACTGATCATCAAATTGTAACTTTTTGGTTGTGATTATTACTCCTTATATTCTTGAATGCCAATGCTCCCACATTCTTACTTGTGAGATGTGATTTTCATATTCTTGAGTTTTGAGAACCCTAACTTTCTTGATTAGTTCTTGATGCCGTAATTGTTGGGATGGATATGATGATTAAAAAGTATGGGATAACCAACAAAGGAAAGAAGCGCCTTTGCCTCATCACAAATGCCATGTGTCCGATTAAAGATCCATATGAAGGAACAAAGGAAGATCAAGTCAGCACCATTGCAGCTCAGATGAAAGCACATGGCATGAGAATGGACTCTGTAATTGTTAGAATGAAACAAGATTTGGATGCAGAAAAGGGAATTATTGATGAAAATGATTTTCTTTTGTCAGTATTTTCAAAAGAAACTTCCTCAAAAGCAGCATATGTTGAAAGTGCAACTTCATTGATGGGTGCAATAAGAACTCGTAATATAGCTCCTGTCACATTATATAGAGGTGATTTTGAACTCAGCACCAAATTGAAGATCAAGGTGAGAACTAAGAAATTGGGCCAATGATTTTGAGGAAACAACGGAAGAGAGATTTACTCACTGGCTTACGTATCAACTCTATATCCATTTGAAAGATAATTATCACCTTCTGTTAGTGTTACTTATCTTGTTTGCTTGTTTCTTCTTTGGTTGTCTGATAGGTATGGGTCTATAAGAAAACATCTGAAGAGAGATTTCCCACTTTGAAAATGTATTCAGATAAAGCACCTCCAACTGATAAGTTTGCTAAGCATGAAATCACGAGTAGTTACGAATATAAAGTTGTTCAAGATCCAACAAAACAAGTGCCACCAGAACAAAGGATTAAAGGATACCGATATGGACCTCAAGTAGTTCCCATATCATCTGCTGAATGGGAGGCAGTGAAGTTCAAACCAGAGAAAGGTGTGAAGCTTCTAGGATTCACAGATGCTTCGAATATAATGCGGTAAAACTTAGCTGTTTTGAGCTTGATTTGGATGGTGTATCCTCTGGGTATTATTGATTTAACGAGACTTTTTTGCTTTTATATTCCTTCTACCCGAAAAGGCATTACTATATGAAAGATGCAAATGTCTTCATAGCTGACCCGGAAAATTCGAAGGCCATTCTTGCTGTCTCTGCATTGGCAAGGGCAATGAAGGATATGAACAGAGTAGCAATTGTCCGCTGTGTATGGAGACAAGGGCAGGGAAATGTAACAATAGGAGTCCTTACTCCTAATGTGTCTGACAAAGGCAATGTTGTAAGTGTGAATCCATCCATAGTTGCAGCTATCCCACCCCCGTTTTAAATTTCTTTGTGAATATGATTTTTTTTTTATATATAATTTAAATATGAATTAACACTGTTGTTCGATGTGGATTGCAGCCTGATTCATTATATTTCAATGCTCTTCCTTTCGCTGAGGATGTGCGGGAGTTTCAGTTTCCATCTTTCAGCAATCTTCCATCGTCAATGCTCCCTAATGAACAGCAACAGGAGGCTGCAGATAATCTTGTCAAGATGCTTGATCTTGCACCGTCTGATAGTCAGGAAGCATTGCTGCCTGAGTTCACGCCTAATCCTGTATTACAGGTATTCAGTCATGTTGATTTTCTATATTTTCTTAGAACAGTTCAATTTTGTGTTTAGCAATATGGTTTTGAGAAGCATGACATTGTTTTCAAATATTCAGCGGTATTATCACTATCTTGAGATGAAGTCAAAGCACCATGATGCTGCTGTCCCTCCACTCGATGAAATCCTTAGGAGGATAACAGATCCCGATCCTGAACTTCTTTCTCAAAACAAGACCGTCGTTGATGAATTCAGAAGGTGTTTTGAACTGAAAGACAACCCAAAGGTATTCTTGACAAGCATGGCTCCATTCACTATATATTAATAAATCTTATTATACCTATTAATGTCCTGCAGATGAAGAAATCAAGAAAAAGATTGATAAGGGAAAAACCAACTGGATCAGATGAGGAAGGAGAACGTGCGTCTACTAAAGTTAAATCTGAAAAAATTGGAAACATAAATCCTGTTCAAGATTTTGAAGACATGATATCTCGGAGGGATAGCCCAGAATGGGTTAATAAGGCTATTCAGGAAATGAAGAATAAGATCTTTTATCTAGTGGAGAACTCTCTTGAAGGGGATACATATCAGAAAGCATTGGAATGTTTAGTGGCTCTCCGCAATGGTTGCATTGTTGAACAGGTATGCTGTCTCCCCTTTCCCCGCTCTCCTTCCCAAAACTTGCAAGATGACAGAGAGCATAATATGATAGGTTAATTCGTTGAGCTTTGCCTGTGCAGGAACCAAAACAGTTCAATGATTTGCTACGTAATCTTTATGCATCCTGCAAAGAAAAAGATCTCAGAAGCTTCTGTAAGCAACTCGAATCTCATGGAATCGCCTTGATAACAAAGACAGAAGCCCCCGACAGGTCTGATTTAAGAACCCATCTCTTTCCATTGTTTCATATTTTTTAGTCCACTTCCGTTCTTTTTTGCCTTTATGCTTAACTGCTGATAATGTCTCGTTTTTGGTATTGACAGTGATGTTTTGGAGAGCGAGGCCAGAAGCTTTATGACTGAATCAGAGGTGAAAGCAGAAACTGCTAAAAAGGAGCCCAAAGAGGAGCAAGATATTATGAGTATATACTTGGGTGGAAAATAGGGCCATCTATCTAGGAAAACCTCTCCATAGGATTTTGCTTGTTCTCTCTTGACTCTCAAGATCTGTAAAGTAAACTAGTTTTTGGCAATAACAGATTTTTTTGTCTAAAATTTCTAAGTATCTTTAGCTAGTGGTTCTATTAATTCCTTTTGAACCAGTATTTACTTAAATTCTCTATTTTCTATTTCTCCGACTTTTTTTTTTTTTTTTCCTAAATTTACCAAGATTTTTTTTTTCTTTTCTCCAATTTTCCATTCCATCACAAAAATGGAGAATTTTTCTCATTATTAAACACACCAGACAAACATCTTATGCACAATAGCCAATCAAGTATAAAGTGGAGATTACTGATGAAATGGTAAAAAGAATCAATCCCAGTACTGAGAAGTGAGAACAGTACTTGTACACTTCTATATGGTCTACAAAATAATAGGTTGATATTTGATTGTTCACAAAAAATGAAAATTAAATTCTTTAAGTGTTCCTTGAGACACCTCTGCCCCCTTATCTTCCCCAAAATCTCTGGAAGCAGATATCTCAATCTCTGCCAGAGTCATCATCTTTTGAAGGTAAAATGTAGCAGACAAGCCAAGCAAAATCATCTCCGGACTGCAACCAGTTCAATCTCATAAACCAACCACGAGTTTGGCGGTATGTTCTCTCCACCTCCTTTACTGCCATAACTGCAATACAAAATTTGACAGAATTCACAAGAAAGAACAATTAGAAATCCCGAAGGATCAGTATAGACCTATGGCCTTGGAAGAATGACAGGTTATGCAAGGGTTTGATCCCAAAATGCTTCCTTTTTTTTATTAGAGGCTGAGGGGAAATGGAAAGATGCATACCCCATTGATGGAGGGATGGTAAGTCTCCTTTTGTCACCAACACGCATACCTAGCATTGCAGAAATATGATAAGATCTACAATTGAATGATACAAGTGTACGCTAATAAGTTACTAAAGAACTTGAAATTTAGTAGTTGTTCACCTTCAAGACCAATGTTCCATCCATCAATAATTTGCTTGTCGCCTTCAGAACATTAGAAGAGAGAGGAATTAGCAATCAAAATAAATTTAGAAGTGAATAGAATTAACTTCTGAGAATTACAAGTACCTAGGCGAAATTTGTAAGGAGTTTTGCCAATATTGGAGTCAAAAACCTGTCCATTCTCTCTTAGCATGCCAGTATAGTAAAATTTCACCTGTACAAGATCAGTTCACCCAATAATCATGCTCATTCACAAATTCTCCAATGTGCTTGCTAAAGCTGGTCAATACCCAGTTAATCTATTACAACATTTTTTAAGAAGGATCGCATAAACTGTTACCTTTCTTCCTGGAGTAGCAACTTTTCCATCTGCTTCACCCATTGAAAGGTCTTCAATAGTCAATCCATTTGACAAGGTTCTCACTCTAGAGGACTCCACATTCGGAACCTTGTCCAGAGCTATGACAAAATTTTCATTCACTGGCATATCGGGCTCAGGCATGATGTTGGTTCCCTCATCCTCAACTTTGGTCTTCTTTTTCTTCTTTTTCTCATGTTTCTTCTCAGATAGGAATCCATCAGCTACGCCAGAATTAATGTTGATACTTCTGCATACAAAACAATGTATATTCTATTGTAAGATTTTTATTCTTTGATAGGTATATTCTATTGTAAGAAAGTATATACATCAAGATAGATTGACCTAAAAGGCCACAAATGGTAAAATCTATATCATCAACATATTGCAGGTGACATGTGTCATCTAAGAAATGCATGATTTAGAGAGTGCCAGAAAATAATAACTAAAACAAGAAATCGGGTTCGGGAAAAACTGACTGAGTATTAGTTTGCAATTTATTTTCTCCAGTTGTTGCTGGTAAATCCTTGCTGATATCAGTACCCTCAGCATCTTGCTTGACCTCTTTGAGATCATCACTAGGACTGGAATCTTTGCATTCATTCAATCTCTCTCCCTCACTCCTTTTTTTCCTCTTCTTTAGTTTTGGACCATTTTCAGATCGCTCATCAGCACGGGGTTCAATTCCTATAGGAACTTCATGCATCACGTCAGACTCGGTGAGTTGCTCTGTTTTATCATCAACAGACATGTTCTCCTGGCCACTGATACCAACTTCAATAGATTTTGCATCATCAAATTTGTTTTTCCTTTTCTTGCTACGCTTTGCAGTCTTTGCAGACTCAGCAGCACTAGAAAACAACAATGAAACAGATTGCAGGTCAAAAATCTTCCTCGACTGTAATGTGTGCCAATAGATAGAAAGAATAAACCAATTCATAGACACAAATATAAATGCATGACCTACGTACAATAGGTAATACTCACCATTCAGGTTCTAACTTGTGATCACCTTTGTCGCTTACAAGTTGATCCTTGCAAATGTTACTCACATTTGTTGTATCCACAGTGTCAACCTTTTCCTCTTTACCACTGTCACCATTTTCTGCCTGACCAGTAAGCTCATCTGTTACTTTGTCACTCCCTTCTCCACCTTCTGGCGATGTTTCCTTCGCTTCTACTTTATTTTTAGATGCAGACAAGATATATTTGTCTTCATCTCCGCTTTCTTGTGATGTGTCTTCATCTTCAGACATAATTACTTGGCGTTTCTTCCTAAGTCGTTTGCAGTTGCCTTTCCTGTTTCCTGGATGTTTTTCATTTGGGGGGGAAAAGAACCCAAAAGAAAAAGGTGAAATATAATCTTTTCAGTTTTCAGGACTACAACCTTTTATGAGAACAAAAGTGATTCATGTCACATACACTACAAATTGTGGAAGGCAATGCATTGAGATGGTTAAAACTTAAAACAAGAGAAACCTTATATGAGCATCCAAGTAGATACAAAACCACGCTCTTCTAGCAGAAGGCTTTATTGCCAGAAACCTAATCTTCCATATACGCAACTTAGAGCAAAATTAATCATCATAAGACATTAAGGCAGGTCATATTTACCTACTACATCTCCATCTTCATCACTTGGAACCGGTGAAGGTGAGAAAACATCCGGCTCATCATCATCATCATCATTTATAAAGCTATCCTCATATTCATCATCATCACTGCATTGATTGGACACCTCTGTGTCTGTGTTGGCTATATCCTCTCCATATGACTCCGTCTCACTGTCTGCATATGTACGAGAACTCTTACTCAGATAATATCCGGTTAGATGGACACTTCTTGGTCCAAGAACTGAAAAGACCACACTATCTTCCTCCTCAAATTCCAAATCCAAATGGCACGACTCCGTCTTATCAGGCAACAAGGCACACAGAAACACTGGAGTCTTATTTCCCACATTACACTGAACCAAGCTCTTCTTTGTCGCATTGCCAATACCCAATGTTGCCTAAACATTTCCAGAACAAAAGATCAATCGAAACTGTGGAACATAACACATGAATGATACACTATTAATCAAATGGAAATCAAGTTTCTTTTTTTGGAAGAAAAATCTCAAAGAGAGATTACCTGAGAAATCCGAAGCCGTCCTAGGGTCCGTTCAAAGCTATGCAAAACCGGTTTTCCGGGTTTTACTTCAATGCCTAGAATTCATTTAAAAAGATAAGATCAAGAAATGAAACTTGCTTGGAAACACATCAATTGCAAAAGATGCAGAAAAGAAACAAGAATATAAATTAAGAATTCTGCCACTGGAAATTTTGAAAATGAAAGATGCAATACAGAACTCACCCCAGAAAGACATTCTTCAATGATTGTTCAAAGCGGTATTGGAATTTAAACCCTACGCATTCAGACGCAATGCAGGACTAAAGTTTTTGCTTAAACCCTAGCTTATTTATAGTGGGAGCCAGCGGGAGTTTTTACGCCTTTTTTTCGCGCGTTTCTGATTCTCTGTCCCTTTATATCACTCCTCCGTATAACCATTTTTCCTTTTTTACTAAATAATATTTTTTTGATACATTGATTTCAATTTAGGCAAGACTAATCTTAGCTTCTGGCTGTTTTGAAAAATCTTAGCTTCCAGTTTCTCTCACGTCACTGAATTATTTGACGATGTAAATAATAAGTTGCACGAGTAATCTTTCAGTTAGGTCTAGCTTTATTGTACGCATTAAGATCACAAAAATCTATAAAATATTTAACTTTTTAAATATTTGGGTGAATATGAATAAATTATAATATTTTATTTGGTTGAGAGTTAAAAAATTAACACGGAGTATTTTTTTTTATTTTAAATATAAATATAAATATATTATAGAATAATAATAATAATCAGAAAATTAACTTGAAAAAATATTTTACACTAAAAATATAAGAAGTACATTAGGTTATCGTAAAATTTGAAAGAGAAAATTTCACTTTTGTGGTAAGAAAATTTCACTTTTGATTTTATAATTATTGGAGTCATGTTAATTGTAATCAACTATCAGCTTGATATATTAACTTTTAATTTTTATCAATTTAACCAGTCTAATCAAATTGTCGATTAAAATTTACTGCAAAATATTAATTAATCAACTTATGTTTAATCACAAGACACTTTGGTCTTTTTATGTGTAATCCACAATAAAAAGTAATCTGGAATGACTAAATTGAAAAAAAAATATGGTGCTAAATTAAAAATTGTGAATGGTAATTAACAAAATCTCAATAAGTGAATTTTTTTCAGTTTAAAAAATAAATTCTGAAAATTATTTTCCATTTCAAACGGACTCAAAGATTAAATCTTTGAGAAAAATCGTGGTGGCTGGGGACTGTAGTTCAAGATTGAAGCTTGATTGAGCTGAGAAGAGAGCGATGGCTTCTGTATCAAGATCAAAGCTTCTGCAATTTAACCGCTGTCACTTCACCTTAACCCGTGATTTTTACAGCGACGCCTCTCTCTTTCATAGGAGTTTTACGAGGTTGTTGTGTAGCGCACGTTGTCCTAAAGATGCTTGGTCTCAACCACCACCAACTACTCACTCCATTCCCCCTCTCTGCAACACCAAGCTCTTCTCATCTTCCTCAGCCATGGCCTCCAATCTTAGCTCTTCGTCTTCCAAGCTTGTATTGTATTCATACTGGCAAAGCTCATGTTCTTGGCGGGTCCGTTTCGCTTTAAATCTCAAAGGTTGTCAGAAACAATCTGGATTATGATGGGCTATGGTTGTGTGTTAATGGGTAATTGAGAGATTATTGGAATGATGGTTTTGTTTTTGGTTTTGGGTGCAGGTCTTTCTTATGAATATAGGGCAGTAAATCTCAGTAAAGGAGAGCAATTTGATCCTGGTAAGTTTGAAATGAATGATCTTTGTTGAAATTAGATTGAAGATTTTTGCAGAACTTTAGTCATTATTAGCATTGATGCTTCCAAGCTTTATCCTGAACTAAGTGTGGTGTGTTCAAATGATCTGTGAACTTTTTTTTTTTTTGGTTGAATGATTAGAAAAACCTACGATCACTACCCGAAGGTGTGCATAGGGTAAACGGTAAACCTGCCTTGTGACCCTAGCTGGTAAAGAATCACGAGGAGGTAAACCAGCCTAGAATGCTCATAGTTGACTGGCTCAAACCAAGAAGGCCAATAGGTTGCTCTTGCTGGGAGTTAAATTTGTAATCTTATGGTTACCAAGTCAACAGTTCAACCAACTTGGCTAGGCTTCACTGGTTTAAGAGGAAATAATATGTGCATAATTTGCAGAATTTGAGAAACTGAATCCTCTTGGGTATGTCCCGGTGTTGGTTGATGGTGGTGATGCAGTGATTGCTGATTCTTATGCAATTTTATTGGTTAGTTGCCTTCTATTCGAGTTCTGAATATGTACGTTTTGCTTCCTCCGCTATGTCTTTTGATGGCATAATTCACGGTTTACCTTACGAGGGTGCATTTCATTTGGTTAGTATTTGGAGGAGAAGTATCCAAAACATCCACTGTTGCCACTCGATCCTCAATTAAGAGCTATTAATCTTCAGGTTGGGTTCGACTCATTTGTGAACATAATATGCTTTGTGTACTAAGAGACACTAAATCCTCGATACAAGCCTTTGTGTTTTGGGAAACCTAGGATTCGTTTTCTAGTGACTTGTTTGAATGTTTTGGGCAGGCTGCAAGCATTGTCAGCTCGAGTATACAGCCTCTTCATATGCTTTCGTTGCTAGTATGTTTTCTTTCACACATCTTTCTTCTTGTCGGGGAGAAATAAACCTTCTAGAAATCATGTTATTGTGTCCTAAATGTGCAGAAGCATGTCGAGGAAAGATTTGGTCCAAACGAGGGACAAACGTGGGCTAAACTGAACATTGAAAAAGGTTTCTGTGGTAGGTTTCATTGCACTAATAAATGTCTTAATTCACTCTTCTGTCAAATACCCATTGTGGCTTTTTAACACGAAGAGCTATTATGTTGGATAGCCCTCGAGAAGTTGCTGATCCGATATGCGGGCAGACATGCTACAGGAAACCGAGTTTATCTGGTACTAGTTATACATTTATTGGAGGAATTACGAGCACAGGAAATGAGGGGTTATGAATAACAGAAAACCTTAAACTGATCATTGTTATTGGTGTAAACTTGCAGGCCGATGTGTTTTTGGCCCCACAGATTGCCATTGCAGCCGAAAGGTTTCATATTGATATGGTAACTGTCTTCCTACTCAAACTCTCATTAACAGGTGTATACTAATTTGTGTCTGCTATAGCCTGCATGATAACTTTCTCTACTTTTGCTTCCCACATAGTTCTTCACAAGTAGTTATCTTTGAATTTCAATAAGAACCCAAATTCGCCGCAATGCATCCAAAACCATTTTCACACCAAGAACCCCAAGGGTGTGCACTGAGTAAAATCTGCCTTGAGACCCTAGCCAGCATAGGACCATAAGGAGGTAAACCAACTCAGGTTGCCCCTAGCTGATCGGCTCAAATCAAGAACGCCAATAGGCCGCTCCCACTAGGAGTCGAGCTTGAAACATTGTGATTATCAAACCAACAGTCTGACCAACTTGGATGGGGTTGCCCATGGGTTATGGCTTTATTCTTATCTTCTCGAGTTTTCTTGCTTCTTGATTGGCATGTATTAAAGATCCAAGTGGCTTTTGTATGCAGTCCAAGTTCCCTACTCTACATGCAATATACAATTCATGCAAGGAATTGCCAGAATTCCAAGCCTCTTCACCACAAAACCAACCTGATGCTGCATTGTGAATCTTGCGACCATCCAGCAGAAATTTATTTCTAAAGGAAATTGTGGCATTTTTTGGTTTTAGTTATCTTAAAACTATATTCTTGTACTGAGACTGTCCACATGATGTGGTTTGAATATGGAAGATTTAGTGAGAAAATCAATCGCTCTATTTCATTATCTATAAATATACGGTAATTACACAACTCACTTTTGTCTCAACTTGCATTTACAAGCAAGTAGCAAATTTACCATAAGTCCCCATTGTTATTCACTAACTCTAAATTGCATTCTAATATGATAAAAACCCTTATCCCAAGCAAGTTGCATAACCTTAAAATCTTCCCAAAACTCCTCTTCTACCACACTTCAATTCATTACACATCCTAAGGTATCTATTACCATTGTCCAGATTTCTACCTAGAAATACCTCAACATTTCATCCACTAGCAAGTTGCCCGTCTAGCTCAGTTGGTAGAGCGCAAGGCTCTTAACCTTGTGGTCGTGGGTTTGAGCCCCACGGTGGGCGAAATTTTTCCATGACCCATACACCTTCCATGTTGCAGTTTTGCTGACCCATACACCTTCCATGTTGCAGTTTTGCTTTGTTTTTGCTGACCCATACACCTTCCATGTTTCAGTTTTAATTTCTAATTAGTGCACTGTGAATCTTTCCATTTCTAAACATATATATGATTGGAAGGATGCTCATGAAGTCATCATAAACAATCATGCGAACACTTCTCGTCTTCTCCGGCCCGAGCCTTAAGGATGCTTATGAAGTCATTATCATAAACAATCTGGCAAACACTCTGGAAGATCAAAGGTGCTCTCACTATATAGGCTGAGTAACAGACCAGACTTCTACCACTATCTTTTCATCAGCTCATTCCATTTCTGTACCCATTCAACCTCTGTAGATCCATTTGATTGCACCTTACAAAATGCTAACCGATCTGATATATAATTTCTGACTAGAATTGCAGGGCTTCCAGAAAAGGAAGCCCTTCCAAAAATTCTCTAAGGCTTAGGGGGAACCTAAACCATAGAGGGGGTTTGGAAATAGTTTTCAACCAGCAATAGACGCGCCTCAGTTAGAACCTCACTAGCTGCGTCATTGCCCCAAGCGCAAAGATGGTTTTAGCTGCCTGCTCGCCTCTCCTTTTATTCTACTCTCACTCCCCACCCACTCCTACATCAGTCGATGTGGTACACAAAAACCCCAAAAACTTGTGCTCCTGTTTCCTTATAGCTTATATCACATCTGCAAAAGGCATCAGAATTCCTTTCCACAAAAAAAAAAAGAAAAAAATGAAGCTTCTCCCCATTTCCAAGTCTAGTATAGGGATCAGTGATTCAGTTAATGCTGAATTCAAGCTGAAATCTCTGCAAATACATGCCTGCTGCTGGATAGTAATGTAATGAGCAGATTCGAATTCAAGATAGCAGAGCTAAATGGTTGTTGTTTCGTGGTTGAAATCTTGGATTTATTAATCTTCTTGGACATTATGAGTTCAGTGATCACCTGGCCAGCCAGTAGTGAAGGGTCTAAAGTGTAGTATAATAGAAGAAGAAAAGCAACTGAACAAGAAGATTGGGTTTTTGGGCTGCTAGGCATGCCATTTGAACCATCACTACAGAAACAAAAAGATCTAGTTTTGCTTCTTTAATTTAGTGCTGTTTGCTATAAAGAATGGCACTATATCTGCAGCAAGCTCCAGGGTATTGAATAGTCTGACTTCACTTACATCTATATAGGGAGAAATTATTATTTTTGGGCCTTTGGCTTTGCTTCATTTATTGACATTTTCATTGTCCCCGAGCTTGTCACATGATCACCTTCTGGATCTTGTTTATAATTATGAAAATTTAAACTAATGAGATGGTATGTAATTCGTAAAATTTTATTCTTTTAAACTAATCAACACAACTAAGTTTTAATCTCAATCTAGTTGAATTAGATATATACAAATTCTATTACTTCTTTAATAACTTTGATAGTTCCAGTAAGCCCCCATTACATCAGCATGTCTTTTACATTAGAATTGAAAATTTATGAAAGGTAAACATTAACCAACCAAATAGTTTTCAGACTTAAACTAATAAACCTCTAAGAATTAATAACGTTTCAGACTAACAGTGTAATAAGTAAACTATTGGCTACCAAACAATTGCCCGTCTAGCTCAGTTGGTAGAGCGCAAGGCTCTTAACCTTGTGGTCGTGGGTTCGAGCCCCACGGTGGGCGCAATGTTTTCTTTTGGCAAAACATTACTTTACTAATGGTGAACAATATTGACACCCCAAGCTGCTGTTTTGCAGGCAATCTTCACTTCACAAACCCAAACCTTTCCCGTTGTCAATGGAGAGATCAGTTTCGGGTTCCAAGAGCGGTTTCAGTTTCTGCAGAAAATGAGGATTTAAAAGCAAAGAGATGATCATTCTATGGTAACACAAGGATATATACACTAATTAAGCCTGTCATAAACTCATCATAATAATTCCATAGTGAGGTTACCATTATATATTGAGGTGGAGCCAAGGACAACCTCTCTCCTTAGTTTTGATGTCAGTTTGTGACAGCCTCTAAAGCTGTTGACAATGAAAGTTGAAAACAAAAATGGTATCCACTAATGTCCAAAATCATCAAAGAATCAAACCATAACAGATAAGTTCAGAAACTGCCTAGATTAACAAAGTCAAGAGAGATTTGAATATATAATTTTGGACTAAAATTGTAGGGCTTCCAGATAAGGAAACCCTTCCAAAAATTCTCTAAGGCTTAGGGAGAACCTAAGCCATAGAGGGGGTTTGGAAATAGTTTTCAACCAGCAATAGACGCGCCTCGGTTAGAACCTCACAAGCTGCGTCATTGCCCCAAGCGCAAAGATGGTTATTGCTGTATGCTCGCCTCTCCTTTTATTCTACACTCACTCCTCTCCCACTCCTACAGCATTAGATGTGGTACACAAAAACACAAAAACTTGTGCTCCTGTTTCCTTATAGCTTATATCACCTGCAAATGCATCATAAATTATTTTCCACATACAGGAATAAAACACCATCACTACAGAAACACAAAGATCTAGTAGTCTTGCTTCTTTAGTGCTGTTTATTCTGATGGTTTCACAAATCGACAGTTTGATGCACCTCCATGTTACACTTAGTGTTGGAAAGACATCAAGTGTAGGTTATAATCTCCTAAATTCCTCCAAAACTAATACTAGATTCTAGACTTTTTGTAGGGCGTAATCTCTCCACGATTTTAACTAGTTGGAAAAGAGTTTGTAAACCATATTTTTGCTATAAAGAATGGCACTATCTGGCATGTCTTTTACATAAGAATTGAAAATTTATGGAAGGTAAACATTAACCAACCAAATAGTTTTTAGACTTAAACTAAAAAACCTCTAAGAATTAATAACATTTCAGACCAACACTGTAATATGTAAACTATTGCCTGCTGAACAACTGCCCGTCTAGCTCAGTTGGTAGAGCGCAAGGCTCTTAACCTTGTGGTCGTGGGTTCGAGCCCCACGGTGGGCAACTTTTTTTCTGCTTTTTTGCACCATTACTATACTAATGGTGAACAATCTTGACACCCCAAGTAACCTTTCATGCTGTCAATGGAGAGATATAGGGGTCGTTTACTAACTTGGAAAAATGGAGAATTTTCCAAAAAATGGAGAAATTGAGAAGTGGAAAAAATAAAAATTGGAGAAGTTGTTTACCAAATATCTTCTTCCAAATGCTTACTCGATCTCCATTTTCCAACTTCATGTACATTTTTGGAGAAAGAAAATTTGGACTTCTCCAAGAGATGGATAAAACCTGTACTGCGCTTTTGCTTCAATTGTTGCTTTGCATGTCCTGTACTGCGCCTTTCAATTGTTGCTTTGCATGTCCAGTACTGCGCCTTTGCTTCACGTCGCGGGTTCGAATTCGAATTGTTGCTTTGCCCACGTCAGTTTTGCTCTGCCTCTGCTTTATTATTATCTTTTTTTTTTTTTTTTTAATTTTCTCCTTTCTTCATCCTTATGCACACATAATAATAATAATAATAATAATATTATTATTATTATCTTCTTTTTAAAATTTTCCCTTTACTTCATCCTTATGCACACATATTTATTATTATTATTATTATTATCTTTGTTATTATTATTATTATCTTTGTTGTAGAAATGTAAAAATGCTATATGGAATGATTGTATTTAATAAAATCAGAAAATTAGAGAAATGAAGAATTAGAGAAATGGGGAATGAAAATTGAAAAATTGGAGAAATGAAAAACTGGAAGAATGGAGAAAGAAAACTGGAGAAATGGAAAACTGGAAATGGAAAAATAGAGAAACGAAGTAAACGACCCCATAAGTTCTGGGTTCCAGATTGAAACGGGTTCCAGATTGGTTTCAGTTTCTGCAGAAAATGAGAATTTAGACGAGAAGAGATGATCATTCTATGGTAACAGAAGGATATATACACTAAGCCTGTCATCCATGAATGGACCTATGATACCATCTGAGTAGAAACATTATATTGGTCAATATCAGAAGTGAGGTTCAAAAAGTTCAGAAAATTGCTTAAGATTAACAAAGTCAAGAGAGAATAGAATACATAATTTTGGACTTAAAATTGTAGGGCTTCCAAATAAGGAAGCCCTTTCAAAAATTCTCTAAGGCTTAGGGTGAACCTAAGCCATAGAGGGGGTTTGGAAATAGTTTTCAACCAGCAATAGACGCGCCTCGGTTAGAACCTCACTAGCTGCGTCATTGCCCCAAGCGCAAAGATGGTTTTTGCAGCCTGCTTGCCTCGCCTTTTATTCTACTCTCACTCCCCTCCCATTCCTAAATCAGTCGATGTGGTACAAAAAAACTCAAAAAAACCTGTGCTCCTGTTTCCTTGGCATATATCACCTGCAAAGCCATCAACATCATAACCCGTGTGCGAAGAGAATTCCTTTCCATAAACACAAAATTTCTGCCCAGTTCCATGTTGGTATTCACATCAGCGAATGGTCAATTTAAGCTTAGCTTAAATCTATGCAAATACAATAAATTAAATGGTTGTTTCGTGGTTGAAATCTTGAATTTATCAAGGGTCATGGTTTCCTAGCTTGTCACAAAATCACCTTCCGGTCTCTAGTTTATAATTACCGAAATTTAAGCTGATGAGATGGTATGTAATTCATAAATTCATAGAACTTTCTTATTTTAGAATACTTAATACAATACAACTAAGTTTTAATCTCAATCCAATTGGGATCAAATAGCTTCAATAAGCCCCATATTACAAATACTTTTTAGACTTAAACCAAAAAGAAAAAAAAAACTTCTAAGAATTAATAACATTTCAGACCAACAGTGTAATAAGCAAACTATTGCTTGCCAAATAACTGCCCGTCTAGCTCACTTGGTAGAGTGCAAGGCTCTTAACCTTGTGGTCGTGGGTTCGAGCCCCACGGTGGGCATTTTTTCTTTTTTATATGGCAAAAACTCTGAACTATACTAATGGTGACCAATCTTGACACCCCAAGTGACCTTAGCTGCTGGTTTTGCAGGCAAACCTCACTTCACAAACCCAAACCTCTGTCAATGGAGGAATCAGTTTCGGGTTCGAACAGCGATTTCAGTTTCTGCAGAATTCGAAAAGAGAAGAGATGATCATTCTATGGTAACAGAAAGAAGGATATATAAATATATGTATTGTGAGTGAGGTTACCACTAGATATTCAGGTGGTTCTTCTATGCTAGTTGACCCAAGAACAACCTCTCTCCTTAGCTTTGTTGTCAGTCTGTGACAAGCTCTAAGCTGTGGACAATCAAAGATGATAGCAAGCATATGAAGCTAGGAAGCCTTAACCGGTTCGATAAATCAAGAAAATGCCCGCGGGGGTGTGAGCATATAGCCATTAACGTGCAATCCAACTATCAGCTTAAGCTTTTAGTTGAGATGGAGCACATGTTTCAATTTGGTATCAGAGCCAGACCAAAGGTCATGGCGCACGCCAACTATCAGCTTAAGCTTTTAGTTGAGATGGTGCACATGCTTCAATTGGGGGCACTTAGTTTCTTACCTCAGATCGCATTGCCCCGCCCACTACGAACACGAAAATGCGCTGCCCCATGTTCTTGAAATCCACAGATGCACCCCTCAAAGCCGAGTCACTAGCACAAGTCGAGAAAGAACTTAAGGCTCCTCCTATTCTTGTTTTCAATCCAAGTTTTTTTCGTTAATGTGTACCTGGAATAACCATCATCAGAAGTGCCCCGACGAGCATAGTTTGGAGTCCTCCGGGATCTCATTGATCGCGGGCCTCCTGTGCCATCGGTTGTCTTTGCAGATGAGCCCTTGGAATCCCCACTGCCCCCTTGCCCAGATGGTCCTTCATTGCCCATTCTATGGAATTCATCTTTTGGAAGTTCGCCTTTAGTCATTTGTTCAATCAACTCCTGAAGTAAAACCATTATCCATGGATGTAATATCCACCACTCAAATATAGCTCAAACAGTAGAAAAAGGTGTAAACAAACCTCTATCACTGGAAAAAACCGGAATAACGCCCATTGCTCCTCATCTGCAGCAGCTCGATCCTTTCGATATGCATTATTTTGTGTCTAATAGAGAGTTTTTTTATTATATATCAGGGATCTTAAATGACATTGAATGATGATTTCTTTCGTCGTATTGATATATATACCTTTTTTGCATCAAACTTTAGGGAGGCTTTCGCATCTGCAGCTTTTTTCTTATCTGATGCCCCCTCGAGTAGTTTCATATTGTTTATAGCCTTCATATCTTCTGCAGTTAGTTTTGCCAGCTGAGGAGGGGAAAGAATGACAAAATTCCCAGTAAGCTTTATCTCGAGTTCTATGAATCGAGAAACTGGACAGAATGAAGAACAAGATAGGGTCTAATGAAGCACCAACCTGCATTAGCTTTGCTGCTTGGCCCTCAAACTTCTCTGGACTAACTAATGCATAAATCATCAACAACCTTAGCTTGTTCTCAGCCGGTGAATCCTGCAAAATTCAAGTTTTTTCGAAAGATTTAGGGTTTAGGGTTTAGGGTTTAGGGTTTAGGGTTTAGGATTTGGATAAACACGAAAACCATTACCTGAGCTGTCCTAAGAACATTGATCACTTCCTTTGATCCAGCATCACCAAAGACGAGATCCTGCTCAACCTGTCCAAGATCGCGAAGGCATTGCTCTCTGCTAATCGAGTTTATCTTCCCAGCAATCTGATTGAAAAAGGATACACAATTTTGAAACTCAAACGGGTATGAAGAAATGTTTGTTTTCAAGTCAGAAAAAACCGATACACACTGCAACGTGGAGCGAGAGCTTCTCCATTTGTTCATTGTACTGTGGCAAAGCTTGAACCATTTTCTGTATGTCCCGGGTCGATAGTTCACTTCCATCTCTACATAAACACGAACTTAAACTCAGTTTATTGAACCATAATCTAAGTCTTGACAGAATTATGGAAAGCACCAACCTTTGTTGCAGCTGTGCTGCTTTGTTCTTGGAAACAAAGTTGCTAAACTTGTCATGTAACTTTTCACTAGCCTGATAGATTTGTCGAGTTAACACGGACATCCAACGAAACGAACAAAGAACGTTAAGATCTAAGTGGAAGTCATACGTACTTCTGCTATATGATTATAGCGGAGTTCAAGCCAGACAGCATCATGATCTTCCAAAAGAACTTCCTTCTTCTCAGGGTCACCGCCCGTCTTGCTAGGCACCTAGTAAGCCCCAATGTTAAGAATCCAAAATAAGAGAGAACATATGGGTTTATAAGGCCATGGGTTAGACCAGCTAATTGACTGGATTCAGTCTTTTTAGTGTGGTTTGGCCCATTTGCATGGAAATGCGTACCTCGTGTACATATTTGTTACCGGTCATTTCAAGAAGGTCGTGGCACATAGCATCATAGAACCACTCATGGATGATAGGAGCAATCTGATCAACTGGCCTGTCCACAATCAGCAAATCACATGTCTCTTTTTGGGGATAGTTAGGGATGGTGGATTTGTATGTAGAAATGCATTCCCAAATTGCAGAAGCAAGGAATTTGGGAATTAATTCCTGGTTTCTTCTTGCAGAATCCTCATTTCCCTTGGGAGCTCGATACCGCACAATAGGAAATTCCTGAGACATGTTGAGAAACAGTAAAGAAGCCAGCCATTTGTGATCCTTTATAACTTGGTGGAAGAGAACTAGATCCAGATAAGAACAAGTGAGACTCGAAAAAGCAAACTTTTACGGTTTACAGCACCAAATCTTGTAATTTACACAATCATAAGTCCTCTGATCCTGTGTTTTCGATCTTTAGTCCACATGAAGAAGTACCGAAAAGAAGAAAAGCTGATTTATGTTTAGTGTTTTCACCTTTAGTGAAGCAAAAACAGTGGCAATTCTAGTGGCCATTATGCTCAAGCATGACTGAAATTTACGCGGATTTTCAGCACCTTCACCAAAGAGCTCATGGAAGGCTCTATCCTGATCAGTGAGAAATGCCTAAAACAAGCACACATAAAAAAGTGAATGTATAACAAGATCCATAATAATGTCGGATGAATCGGAAAAAATGCATCCACCTGTTGATATTACAGTAAAGTTATCAGATTCAAAATCAAAAAACATTAGCCAAAACACCTGACTGTCCATTGGGAAGTACTCCAAATTCATCTGCAATACCAAGAAGGAGAAAAGCTTAGGACCAAACACCAACAATTTGTTTGCAGAGGATATGATTATCCTCATGGCAGTGGCAAAAGAGAAATCTTGCCTCTCTTAGTGCACCTATACGCGGTAACACACTTGTATCGCTCTTGATTCGATTAACCAGGTCCTTCGGGACGGGTGTGCTGAAGTACACATAAGCTCTGAGCAGAAAAGAAAAGGATAACTGGAATAAGAAGAGGATCACCAGCCTCACGAAAACATAGCATTTAGAAGACAGACATCTAGAAATGTAGATTCTTTCTCACATACTTTCTGTATAAAGGCTCTCTTCCAGACATATCAGATAGGAACATGATCACACTGTAAAGTTAAACACTGGCAATGTTAGTCATCACTTCATTTCAAGTTACAAAAGAAGGCCATCTTAAAGCTTAGAGATGTCATATTTGACCCTATTGACAGTTTTCTGGATGACGAGGGAAACCACAGTCACTACCCAAGAGTCAACACCGGGTAAATCTCACCTTGTGATTTTAGCCAGCAAAGAGTCATAAGGAGGTAAATCAGCCTAGGTTATTCATAGCTGATCGGCTCAATCCAAGGCTAATATATAGACCGTTTTTACTGGGAGTCGAACTTGGAACTTTATGACCTTATGACGAGGGAAACCACAGTCGCTACCCGAGAGTCTGCACTAGGTAAATCTCGCCTTGTGACCTTAGCCAGCAAAGGGTCATAAGGAATCAGCCTAGGTTATTCATAGCTGATCGGCTCAATCCAAAGCTAATAGGTCGTTTCCACTAGGAGTACAGTCGAACTTAGAACCTTATGGTTACCAAACAAACCGTCAGATTGACAGTTTTAGTAACAAATCCATGTAGTTGATTAGAATGCAAAAGAGGGAATGATAAACATGCTTCTCTTTAGTTGGTTGGATGAAATATATGACATCCATAGCAGGTAAAGGTTGTCTTCTTCTGAAAAGATCTTCCACCACTGCATTAAGGAATTGAAATCCAGTTACCAATTAGCTATGAAACTTTCAAGAAACAGAAACCCAAAGCAGATAATATACTAATACTCACGAGAAATTCCTTCATCTGTGATATCTGCCATTTTGCATGAGCTAGACAGTACTTTCACAGTCACCCTATCCATGATGAGTACCTGCTCGATCAAAACCGGTAAATCTTGAGAAAGAAAAAAACATCAAAAGCTTTGTCTTTTCATGATCAGATAAATTGTCCCAGAGACATACCCTCCATGCGGATCTTGGATCATCTGATTTGGATGAGCGGAGCATCTCAAACAACAATCCTGCCAATAAAAAATAAAATAAAATTGTTTCATTCCAAGATTTTTCCAGGAAATTGTGAAAAGGAGTGAGAGTGATGGGGTGAAATTAAGGGAAAGATGATTACTTTCGCGGGTGACCTGCCGGAAATTCTTGTACTCGGAATCGGAAAACGACATCTTTGATGAATTGAAAATGCCAACTTTTTTTTTTCTTTTCTGTCTAAGTGTTTTCAGGTGGATTTAGCTAGAAATGACCTGAAAAAAATGAGCATGGAGAAAGAAGACAATGATTTGTATGGAGAGAAACGCGGGAGGCTGTTTTCGCGGTGTTCGTATCTTGGTGAAAAGGTCGTTATGCGCTTGTTGTGGGGACGCACAATGTTGTAACGGCCATTAACAAGAATTCTTTAGCTTATTCTTTTTATTTAATGAAGTTTTTTTTTTTTTTTTTTTAATTATGGGAGGAAATAGACCCCCACTACTCGAAAAAGTGCACATAGTAGATGTCATTTTTATGTAATAACTAACAAATTACTAACTCAATATTGTAGCTTAAATGGTAAATGAGTTTGATTTTTTCTAGACGGCTGGACCAGCTCATGTGCCCCTCGAAACGAGCGGGAATTAGTTGGGTGGACTCGAATCTTAAAACAGACGAAGAAAGACTCGGAACACCTTGTAATTTACACACAAAAAAATTCACAAATTACACATAAAAGATAAAGCAAATTGAACTTATAACTTCATGGTAGATCGAGAAATTATATATGTATGTATGTTCTACCATTTTCTTGCCTTTTCTTTTTTGACCATCCAAATTTTCCCCTTCTTTCATACTATGTGATGGATCGGATTCAATGAACGTTACCTACCCCAAGGCGTTGGTCTAAGGGATAAGAAGTAGTCTCATTTATGACTTGCTTCTATTAACACGATGAGAATTTAATTACTGCTACAAATATTGGAGTTTGGTCGGGTTTGAGTTGAGTTCCTTATGCGGATTAGAAGCTAATGCAGAGTTTGATATATTGGTGATAAGCTTATTAAAAACACTACATAAAGAAACAATTTCACACCAATACAATTACAACCAATGAAAGCTAGATATGATAGTTATGACATCTTGAGTCAAGTTGGAAACTAGAGAAATCCAACTCTTTTGCAACTCTCAATGGCTCCATCATACATTTCTTCGAGCCCATACTTGAATTTGAAACCCATGTCCAATAGTTTCTTTGATGAAAGAATTGGATGTTTGAAACCTCCCATATCCTTTAAAGAGCTGCATGCACCATATACATATGTTAAAAACTCGATATTAATTGAGGAAATCAATATTAATCTCACATGTTTTTTTAATAATTTGATATTATTTATTATGTCCTGTGCTAAGACAATTATATTCACAAAATATAGATAAAAAATGAAGAATAATATATATAGTATAGTAGTAAAGTAAAACTTACTCTGGATCTGGAAGATGATATTGTGGGTATTTAGTCGATAGAAATTTGTGCAAGTCTTGGGGTGTTATTCCAAGAGAAGAACAAATGTACCTCCCCTTTGCATTAGGATGCTCCATAAGAAAGATGTGTGCCCTTGCCGCATCATCAACATGTACAAATGGAGTCAATGAAGGGTACTTCATAACATTTTCTTGATCACCTAAAATTGTTCGAGAATAATATTTTTCGTCACAATTTTTACTAAAATAAATTGATCAAATTAAAAACTTCTATAATATAATCACCACTCTTACTAATTACTCATTGCTTTTTTTTTTTTTTTTTTTTTTCAGATGATAAAGGATATTCGCAGTAACTACTCGAGAATGTGATCATTGCATGAGGTAGGTAAACCATACTTTCTGACTCTAATCGGCGAATGATCTTGTAAGGTAAACAAGTATAGATTATTCATAATTGATCGACTTAAATAAAAAGCAGATCACAGTTTAACATTTGTGTTCAGTTGAGTTACCATGATTTACGTACCCAAAACTATTGACATTGCAGGGCGTAGGGTCTCGGGGAACTGAGGAGACAAGAAAGGGCCATGGATCCATGAAGTAATGACTGTGACAACGTCAAGTTCATATTTCTCTCCGAATTCCAACGCCGCCTTTTCCGCTAAAGTTTTGCTGATAACGTAGGAAGCACCGAAAGGCTTTGATTCCTTAACCAAACCCACATCCGTCCACGAGCTCTCGTCGACGACGACGGCGGAACCTCCGCCGTCGCCGTTAAACACGACCGCCAATCTGCTGGAAGTAACCACCACTCGCTTAACGGTTTTCGCGCCAACGGCCGCCCGCAAAACGCCCAACGTCCCATTGACGGCGCTCTCGATCTTCGCCTCCTCGATTTCCGACCCCTCCGCTAAGTCCATCGGATGCGCAACGTGAAACACTCCGACGCATTCCTCCACCGCCGCCTGGAAACTCTCCGGCCGGTCGAGATCCGCCTCGAAAATGCGCAGTCTCTCCGGTGATGCTCCGGGCAAACTCGTGAGATAGCTCAGATCTCTGGTCAGTGACCTCACCGTGGTGTTAACGGAGTAGCCATCTTCTAGAAGTCTCATGATCAACCATGATGCCAGAAAGCCTGTTCCTCCGGTGACACAAACAGTGCCTTTGCCATCTCCATTTCCTCCCATTTTTTCTTCTGAAGCAAATAAATTCAGTGTATTTCTATCTTATTATATCTCTTTGTGAACCAATATATATATACTCCGTATTTTTTTTTTTTTTGAACCAATATATATATATAATAATTAGGTAAATTTGGATATTGTTTGCTAAATTTTGGTAATATATTGATGACAATATTAGTATACTAATAATTTCACTCTTTAATTAATGTAATCTAGTAAATATTCCTTAAATTAGTTGATGAGGAAATTAAATAGAGTTAATTATCAAAATGGTCCCTTGACTATAGTGAAATTACTAATTTGGTCCTTGATTATTTTTTTAATTAATTAAGTTCCTCAACTTTAAAAATTTTAATCAATTTGGTCCTCCGTTAATTTGACCGTTAGTCAACCGTTAACTTGAGATCAAATTGGTAATTTCGATATAGCCAATGGACGATTTTGGTAATTAACTTTAGGGGTGGGCAATTCGGTTTAGTTTTCTCGAATCGAACCGTACCTAATCGAACCGAACCGAGCTAGTTTGGTTCGGTAATACACCGAACAACAGAACGGTATTGGATTCTTGTATACCGAACGGTTCGATTAAAAATTGATCCGAATTGTTCGGTAAAAAATTGAACTGAATCGAATACCATTTGATTTATTTTTTTAAAAATATAATAATAATAATAATAATAATAATAATAATAATAATAATAATAATAATAATAATAAATAAATAAATAAATAAATAAAAAGTAAATCCAAGTCCCTTGCTGCTTGCTCTATTGTTCAATTCATATTCTCATGGGTATCTCTCGTAAATATTTTATTTGATTTCTTTATGGGTTGTTATCAAAAGTTCTATATTATATATTATGGTGTTTACATAATCCATATCCAAAGTCTAATATATAACAAAATAGCAATCCAAAGTTCAAACGGTATTCGGTTCGGTTTGTACTAAACAATTCAGTTTGGTTCAAGTTTTTACCGAACCGTTAGGTATACAAGAATCTATTACCGTTCGGTATATTATCGAATCTAACTAGTTTGGTACCGTTCGGTTCGAGAAAACTGGATCAAATTACCGACCCTTAAAGTTAATTACCAAAATGGTCCCTTGACTATAGCGAATTACTAATTTGGTCCCAAGTTAACAGTTGACTAACGGTCAAACAAACGGGGGACCAAATTAGTTAAGATTTTTAAAGTTAAAGGAGTTAATTAATCAAAAAAAAGTAGTCAAGGACGAAATTGGTAATTTTTCTATAATCAAGGAACATTTTGGTAATTAACTCAAATTGAATATTTAGAAATTCGATCTTCATAGAGAGGACATGACATGTGACATGTCTTAATTTGCTTAGGTTATCATTATCTGGTGTAATATTATCTCACTCCAAATATAATTCATCAATCTTAAAAAAAAAAATGAATGAACAATGACATTTTGCAATATTTATTCTTATGAGTACGTTATTGTTAGGACGTAGATGATCGAAAAGAAATGAGGAATGCAATGTGATTAGAAATGAGTATTCAATTGATGGTTTAATTAGGAAATTAGAAGGAAAAGTGTACCTTCTGTTGCACATATGGAGAATGTTCTCGGGGCAAGACGCTATATTCAATCACATTCAAATACTCCCTCCTCTTGATGTCATCGAGAATAACTTTAATTTTTACCGCAACTTTTCATTTATTCAGGAAATCGAGGAAACTGGTAAGCTTGTTCTTGGCGTGGATATAAGTGTTGATCACGTATTGGTCGATAAGGTTTTCCGACTAGTAGACGATGTCCTTCACCAGCTGCTTGACGATTTCGTTTTCTGTCTTGATTTTCGGGAATTCTTTGAGGATAAACTTGAAGCCATTGACGCATCAGAGGAGCTTCTGGACATCGTTGTCTACGCTTGTGATTACGAGAAAAGGTGGGGGTGGGGGTGTTGCAGGAAGGAGGAGTTAGGTTTTTTATTTTTTTATTATTTTTTTTATTTTAATAATATGTGGGTCCACTAAAACAAAAATTGCTCATCCCATCTCGCATTAGTTTCACTTTGGGGGCCCAGTAGGGCGCGTGTACTACACGCCCTACTGTGTTATTTTTTTAAATTTTACTTTCAAATATTAGTTTTTTTTTTTTTTTTTCCTTCCCCTCTCATATTCTCTTTCCTAGTCACACTTGAAATTTTTTTTCAAAAACTTCACACTATTGAGAATGCTATATTTTATGCTCTCAATTATCAATGTCACTCTTAAATAATTATTAGTGGCGTAAATGTTACTACATATATTGCCTCAATTTTTTTAATAAATAATATTTGTAATTTTTAATAAATAACAAAATTTGTTTAAAAAAACAAAAAAAAAAACAAGTGTCAATACCGTATAAATTTAACGTGATAAATATGTCAATTTAGACTTAATTGAACCATATAGATTTGTTTATTCACTTTTTATTTAATGAAGCATTAAAATTAAATTAATCAAAATTAGGATAAAAAGATTAATTTGTACAAAACAATATAATACAACGACTTTGTAAGTAGGGTTTAAAATCATAAATTAAGTC